TAGAAGGCAATCGGGTTGGTCAGGCATGACTTGCCCTTGGTGAATCCATGTTGACTGTTCCTGATTACCTTCCTCTCCTCCAAGTGCTTCAAAATGGATTCCTTGAGGACCTGCTCCATGATTTTGCCAGGGACTGAAGTGAGGCTGACCAGTCTGTAGTTCCCCGGGTTCTCTTTCTTCCCTTTTTTAAATATGGCCACTATATTTGCCTCTTTCCAATCATCCGGGACCTCTCCTGATTGCCACGAATTTTCAAAGATAATGGCCAATGGCTCTGCAATCACATCAGCCAACTCCCTCAGCACCCTTGGATGCATTAGATCTGGACCCATGGACTTGTGCATGTCCAGCTTTTCTAAATAGTCCTTAACCTGTTTTTTCACCACTGAGGGCTGCTCACCTCCTCCCCATACTGTGTTGCCCAGTGCAGCAGTCTGGGAGCTGACCTTGTCTGTGAAGACCGAGGCAAAAAAAGCATTGAGCACTTCAGCTTTTTCCACATCATCTGTCACTAGGTTGCCTCCCCCTTTCAGTAAGGGTCCCACCCTTTCCCTGACCTTCTTCCTGTTGCTAACAGACCTGTAGAAACCCTTCTTGTTACCCTTCACATCCCTTGCTAGTGGCAACTCCAATCATGCCTTGGCCTTCCTGATTACACCCCTGCATGCTCAAGCAATATTTTTATACTCCTCTCTAGTCATCTGTCCAAATTTCCACTTCTTGTAAGCTTCCTTTCTGAGTTTAAGCTCACTGAAGATTTCACTTTTAAGCCAAGCTGGTCGCCTGCCATATTTGCTATTCTTTTTGCACATCAGGATGGTTTGTTCCTGCGACCTCAATAAGGGTTCTTTAAAATACAGCCAGCTCTCCTGGACTTCTTTCCCCCTCATATTAGCCTCCCAGGGGATCCTGCCCATCAGTTCCTTGAGGGAGTCAAAGTCTGCTTTTCTGAAGTCCAGGGTCCATATTTTGCTACTCTCCTTTCTTCCTTTTGTCAGGATCCTGAACTCAACCATCTCATGGTCACTGATGCTTAGATTGCCACCCACCTCTACTTCCCCTACCAATTCTTCCCTGTTTGTAAGCATCAGGTCAAGAGGAGCACGGCCTCTAGTTGGTTCCTCCAGCACTTGTACCAGGAAGTTGTCCCCAACACTCTCCAAAAACTTCCTGAATTTACTTTGCTGAGTAATATACATTTTTAAACAACAGTTAAACCTGGTCCGGCTAGTGGTTTCTATAATGTCTCTGTAGATGACTGCATACTCAATTGTCCATATATGGTACACTGAAATTGGTTGACCAGTCTGCTACGCCTGAAGCCTGGGCGTTTCTTCATTGTATACTGATATCTTCTGGTGTCTGGTGTCTGTGGGATGCACCCTTAAACAACTTATGGTTAACATAATAAAGTTTTTGCTTGTTTGCTGTACATTTCTCTTGTTTTCAATAACCCACATTTGATATACAGATTAATTTAGCTTGTTTACACTGTAATAGGGACAAGGGACCTCTTCTATAACGCAAGCTATGCTTTTGTTCTGATTTTTCCCAATTATTAGCACAAATATAATTGTTACAGATGCTTTTGCAATTTTTGTATATTGTCAAGTATCAGGGGGTAGCCGTGTTAGTCTGTATCCACAAAAACAAGGAGTCCGGTGGCACTTTAAAGACTAACAGATTTATTTGGGCATAAGCTTTCGGTAGTAAAAAACCACTTCTTCAGATGCATGGAGTGAAAGTTACAGATGCAGGCATTATATACTGACACATGAAGAGAAGGGAGAATCTCACAAGTGGAGAACCAGTGTTGGCAGGGCCAATTCAGTCAGGGTGGATGTAGTCCACTCCCAATAATAGATGAGGAGGTGTCAATTCCAGGAGAGGAAAAGCTGCTTCTGTAATGAGCCAGCCACTCCCAGTCCCTATTCAAGCCCAAATTAATGGTGTTAAATTTGCAAATGAATTTTAGTTCTGCATAACAGATTTAAAAGTAACTATTCTTGAACAAAAAAACTTCAGAAACAGACTTCAAAGAGAAACAGCAGGCTGAATGTCCCAAAGCCCACCTTTAAAGTCATGTTAGAAAGGTATGCAAATGATAATTAGGGCCATTCAAGCTAAATAGGCTAGAACTTTGAAATGTAAACCTATATTGTTAGAAGTAATACTAATTGCATGTATCTTAGAGGCTACCCCTAAACAGACAGTTTCTGTCTGTCACTATAACTATTAATTCAGCCATCAAAAGGGAATATTAACATTTGGATGAATCTTGGGTAAAATAATGTCATTGTCTATATGTCTCTTTGACGTTTGCAATAGACTGCCTAATGGATAAATTGCCCTATATTAATTTGTGTAACTAATTACTGGTGGTGTTTAGAAAGCAAAAGGTTACATCAAAAGCCTATTGTTTAACCAAGACTGTTTGGTCAAGGGGATGCTAGGACACTGTATAAAAAGACCATTGGGTCCTGATCCTGTTCATCTCAGATCTGCTTAGGATTCATCGGGGGAAGTTTTGAGTCGCAAGACTGAGGTTCCAGTTATGCTGGTACACGCTGAATATGAGATTTGGACGTTGGACTAGAACCTATGAACTATTTCTGAAAGAAATCTTTGCAACTACAAAGCTCACCATCTCTCCTATGAATTTGAACCTCAGTGAATTGAACTCATGTCTGTATGTATATTGATCTTTTAACCAGGCTCCCTCTCTTTTGTTTTTTAATACATTTTAGTTTAGTTAATAAGAATTGGCTGTAGCATGTATTTGGGTAAGATCTGAAACATTCATTAACCTGGGAGGTGATGTGTCCGATCCTTTGGGATTGGTAGAACCTTTTCTTTTATATGATGAAATAAGATTTTCAGAAATCATCATATTTGACGTGGGTACCTGGATGGAGGCCTGAGGCTGGATCACTTTAAGGGAACTGTGTTGTTTGGAATTCTGAGTAGCCAGGAAGGTAATAAAGAAGCTATTTTATGCTGGCTTGGTAAATCTAAGTATTGGAATATCCACCAGAATATGCCCCATTCTTTGCAGTTCACCCTAATTGAGTGACCATAGCTGGCTCCCCACTAGGACCCCAGTCACAGTGGTGTAGTCATGCTTGAATGCACATTACCACAGGTTAATTGGGTTCTTGGATCAGAACTGATGTCTTGGACGAAACCTCCCTATTCAGTATTCTGTCAAACCACCTGATCTTGTACTAGGCTGTGGTGACTCTGTACTAGCTGCAATATATTTACATAAATATCTAGTGCCTAGAATACTAGCAACAACTCTGCCAAGTTCATGTACTGGATGCTGATCTGCTTTAATACATGGCCTGACTTTGGTTCACAGCCTCAGGTCTTGCACCAGGCTCTCGCTCTCTCTCTCTATTACAAGGGGAGGGGAGCTCAGCGGTAGCTTGGGTCCCCCCCCTTTGGGACTCAGACCCCCATGCTGGCTCTGCACCCCTTAGTTCTGACGGGAAGCAGGGAGGTAGTGAATTAAAACTCTCACTTTCTGCAAGTTCCTGCTAGGACCAAACAGGTGTTCACAGAGCAGTGCTCGGCTCCCACGGTGGCAGTTCTGCTTCTGCCCCCAGGAAATCCCTTGATTTGCATAGTGGAAAATCTGATTCACCCAGCTGTGTTATGGCCTGACCAGCACCCAGCCCTGATTGCACAGGGGCCAGTGACTTGTCACCCTTGGCACTTAAGGTCTGTGGTAGCTGGTGATAGAGGAGGGGTGTGCATGGAGGCAGACAGATACGTGCCTATGGAGACTGTCTGGGGGTGGGCTCCAGTCTCTTTGGGGACATGGGTTTCAACCCCACAGCTGCCTAGGTAGGGAGTGTGGCCTAGCAGTTAGGCACTAGACTGGGACTCAGGAGCGGGGAGTTCAACCCTAGCTCTGCCACTGCTCTGCTGGGTGACCCTGGGCAGGCTGCTTCCCTCTCTGTGCCTCAGTTGGCCCATCTGTAAAAGGGGGGGTAATGCTTTGGGATCTAATGAGGAGACACTCCGCCCAAGCAGGGGGTTATTGGAAAGAAATGTGGCCAAGCTGCATTTTCAATGTATCATTCTTAACACCATTTGCTGCTTTGTTTTGACCAGCCTCCCGTGTTTGCTCCTCACTTGAACTAGCATGGCCGAGTGCCGCTCGCTCCCCTGGGGGTAAATCAGGAGCGACTCCATGGCCAGTCCCGAGAGCAAACCCAGAATGAGCGAGATTGGAGTCAGGCCTGTAACGGGCTGGCTGGGAACCCAGCATTGTTACTGGCATTATAGACGGGGCAAACTTTCTGGGAAGGCTGGGAGTGTCGGGGGATTCGGGGAGCTGGGGGGGGGGGTTGCAGATCCTCTGGTGTCATGTGCAGGGTCAGCAGCTGAACGCTGGCAATGTGCAGAAAGACCAGAGGGAGATGAGCACCCTGGGCCAAATCCACAGCTGGTGCAAATCACTCCATTGACTTCATTGGAGCAGAGACAATTTACACCCACTGGGGTCTGGTCCTCTGTGTCTCGCCTGGTATATACAAGAGCCAGGATGAGGCTAAACCAAGATCCCCTGCCTGTGCCTGGGGGCGGCTCCATATGGGGGTCAAAGATCTCCTGGCCCCAGGAGAGGCGATGGGTAGCACCCCACCCCTAGGGCTGCAGCCGCATCCCAGGCTGGCTGTGAGTGAGTGCTGAGCTCCCCTCAGCTGGCTCCGGTCCCTGGGTTGGGCATAGGGTGACCGGATACCAAGTGTGAAAAATTGGGATGGGGGTGCCCATATAAGCAAAAGCCCCAAATATCAGGACTGTCCCTATAAAATCAGGACATCTGGTCACCCTAGTTGGGCGAAAGGGGCAGCCCCTGCGGCAGCAGGAGTGGAGCAGCCCTTACGCGAAAGGGAAAGCCGCTTCCTTCCTCTTTCCCCAGCAGAGACGTTATGCAAAGGGGAGAGTGTTTTGCTGCGGTGCGTCAGCAGGCCCCTTTTACAGCGCCCAGGATGCCGGGGAGAGCAGCGCTGCTTGTGCTGGGTGAGTAGGGACTGGGGGGCTGGGTGTTGGGGGGCCGTGGGGGTGGGCAGGAGGGCTGGGTGATTGTACTGCAGTCCCAGGCCGCTGACAGCCCATGCAGGCTGCAGGGGGGAGCAGCTGTCCCCGAGGAGTTTAGTGAGATTCAGAGGGGGTAGCTGGGATGTGCTGCCAGCAGGTGTCTCACGTGTGACAAACCAGGTGCAGGTTTGAATGCACATTACCACAGCAAACCCCGGCAGCACTTTGAGTCCATGGACTCACCCTGAGCCCATCCCAGCCGGGTTCTGGTCTGTGCTTAGTCCTGACGGTGCAGCTCTAGGAGTCTGGATGCCTGGGCTCTCTTCCCAGCTCTGCCCCAGACTCCACGGGAGGCCTTGGAGGAGCCCCTGGCCCATGTGGGCTCCATGTCCCCATGTGCAGGGGAGGTGAGGGCTCTGACCGCCTGGGGAGCGGGCTCCCTGCCTAGATTGTGACGCGAGAAGGGACCTCTGTGATCCCCGCATCTGAGCAGCTGCTCGACACAGGCCAGGGGGCTTCCCGTAACTGCCCCCGCGCTGGTGTCGGGGGAAACAGGCTCTGCACTCAGCCTCGCTCCTTCTCGTTTCTTTTGCAGCCCTTGGACTAGCTGGTGAGTCCTGCTCGTCTGATTATTCCTGCTAGCATAAACTCCAGGGGCCCCAACCCCTAATGTGCAGGTACCAGGGGGTACTGCCTCTGCTCTCTAATACTAGACAGTACCTGGGTACCAGGAGGTGCTGCTGGGACATTACCCCTCTGCCCCCTACCACCAGATGGTACCTGGGTACGGGGGGCTGCTGTGACATTACCCCACTGCCCCTGCCACCAGACAGTACCTGGGTACTGGGGACGCTGCTGTGACATTACCCCAATGCCCCTAGCACCAGACAGTACCTGGGTACTGGGGGTGCTGCTGTGACATTACCCCACTGCCCCCTAGTACTAGACAATACCTGGGTACCAGGGGGGCACCACTGGGACATTATCCCACGACCCCCTAATGCTAAACAGGACTTGGATGCCATGGGGCGCTACTAGAACATCGCCTCCTCCCCAATGCCAAACAATACTTGATAACCAGGGGCACTGCCCAGGCGGTCAGGTGCCTAACCCCTTTGGCAATCCCAGCCTAGAGCGTAGCCCTGCGCAGTTCCCTGGCTCCGGCCTCCCGTGCTGAGGGCATGGGGCTCATCTCCTCCTTTATGCTAAGGTCGGCTCTGTCCTGTTCTCTCCCTCCCTCTCCGCCGGCCCTTCAGCGACTGCACAAAAGCCCACGCTGACCCTTGACCCTCCGTGGAGCACAGTGTTTAGGGGGGAGAGCGTTACTCTAATGTGCAGCACATCCCACCCTCCTGGACGGGGATTCACATGGTATCACAACGACAAGTCACTCAGAAGCACAATAAAAAACAGCCTCAGAATTGAATACACAGAAATGAGTGATACAGGTAGATACCAGTGCGAGGCTCCTGGCTCCGGGCGAAGCGATCCCGTTCTGCTGACCATTTCTAATGGTGAGTAACATAAGAGCAGGTCGGAGCCATTCTGCTCTGCTCTGACCTGTGGGGCCCTGTGGCGCTGCTGCCCATTCTGCAGTGGGGCAAACCCAGCCTCCTGAAGCAGTGAGCGGAGGGAAATGCCGCCAGCTACCTGCCCACAGCTCCACTGGGGATCTGGCAGGGATCTAGCCTGCAGGTGGGGGGGGGGCACTTTTGTTGAATGGAAATTGGGGGAAACCACATGAAAAATAAGGGACAATTTAGGGAAACACCATTTCCCTTAGCAGACCATGTTGTTCTCTCACGTGTACATTTCTACTGCCCTCCGGAATACAGTGCAATTGTCGTAAGCTTCAATTTAATATTTCAAATGCTCAAGGGGTGTTCCTTAAAGTAAGGGACGGGTGATCACCTGGAGGCCCCCTGGCTGCAGTAGAAAGGCCTTGGGGCACCTGACCCCAGCTCGCTGGAGCCGGAGCAGCAGTGGGGCAGGCATGCTCCCGTCCCTGCAGTCTGGGGAGGCTGCTCCTGGGTTGAGCTGTGGTGGGGGATCAGTCAATAGAATCTGGGTTTGCTCCTAAATTCCACGGTGCAGGCCAGCGGGCACAGCCCCCTCCTTGCCCCTCTGGGAGCTGCCATCCCACCTCCTCTGATGCTGTTCCCTCCCGCTCGCTCTCTCCAGAGCCCTGACCCTGTCTCCTGCCTGCCCCTCGCTTAGCCTGGACTCACCCCTCGTGCTGTTCTCTGGCTCGCCTGCCCCGCCCTACCAGGGCAAATTAATGTCTGACCTTCTCCTGGCTAGAAAGGATTTTCTTGTGGTTCACTTTTACCTGCGGCCGGGGGAACTTTTTTGCCTGACTCTCCCTCTCCCTCCCCACAAGGGGTGAGTGCGACTTGCAGCCCACAGCCTGCAGAACCGAGTGCACTGAGTTCCCTGGTGCCGCGATCTCCTGGAGCTGCTGCTCTCGGCAGAGGCGGACTAAAGTCTCTCCTGGGGCCCTGGCTGGAGCAAGTGGGGGGAGGAGCCAGGTGCCAGAACCGTGGCCCCGCCCCTTCTACCTGCAGCCCTGCCCACGGCCCCACCCCATTCTGCCCCTTCCCACATGGCCCTGACCCCGTTCCACACCCAGCCCAGCTCTGTCCCTTCCCCCTGTGGCCCTGCCCACGGCCCCATCCCATTCCGCCCTTCCCCCATGGCCCTGCCCCCCTTCTACACCCAGCCCAGCTCTGTCCCTTCCCCCGCGGGCCTGAGACTGGAGAAGTTCTGTGCCCTGGGGCCATGGCGGGCAGCAAGAGCTCCTCCAGCCCCATGGCCATGCCAGGGGGAGATTTTTCCGGGGGCCCCAAACTGGCTGGGGCCCCTGGGCACAGGCCCTGTTGGGCCATGCGGAAACGTGCCATTGGCTCTCGGTGTCTCTCTTTCAGATTGGCTGATTCTCCAGGCCCCTTACTATGCCATGTTCGAAGGGGACCCGCTGCGCCTGAGGTGCTACGGATGGAGGGGAGCAAAGGTGTCTGGGATAAGCTATTACAGAGATGGAGCAAATGTTGAACCATCCCATGTGAACTCAGAGCTGTTCATCAAACAAGCAAAGACACGTGACAGTGGCAGATATCACTGCACAGGATCAATGAGAACTGAAGTCATAGTTACTAAAGTCAGTTCTCCTAAGGTGTCTATTTCTGTCCAAGGTGAGGAATTTTTGTGAGTGAGGGGGCAGTCCCAGCACACAGGACATACTCAGAGCTGAGCCCTGGTGCATCTTCTGTCAGTGGTGCAAGGCGTGACCTCGCACGTACGGTGTGTGCGAGGTCATGTGGTGCAGAGGACACCGTCACTATTGCTTGAGCCCATCACCTCTTTCTTCGCACAATAAGTAGCGGACATCCTGCCCCAGCTTCCTTGGAGGGGAAGGCTTTGCCTTTACCTAGATGCCATTAGGAAAGTTATAATTTGGCCAAGTGACTTTAGTCCTAAATCTGGTCTCCCTTTGCTTTGAAATTGGCGTAACTGCACTGGCTGCTACAACTGACGTCCCCAGGGGTAAGTGAGGTCAGAATCGGGCCCTTTATCTCTAGCTGTAGGAGCAGCAGCATTACAGCACAGCAGGCAGGGACGGGCGACAGTGTAAAATGGATCCATATTAGGAATGTGCCGAGGTGCTGGCTCAATTTTAAAGCTGAGATCTAACAGACTTGATTTGCCAATGTGATAAGAGCTGTAGCCAGTATTGGAATGGAATCTAAACAGGTTAACCCCTTCTACAGAGCCCCATGAGCGGTTTGCTTACTCATTTTAATGCTAGGTTCTTTTCAGGTCAGCTTTTACCTGGGACAGTGTTTCTCAGATCAGGTCACTTGGTTATTCTTAACCAATCAACAGTTTATTAATTCACTCCGGACCACTCCGGTCTATTATTAACACGGCACCAGTCAAGTGTACACACAACCAGTGTTCTAGGCATGCACTGAACACACCATTCACCAATACAGTCTTACAACTGTGATAGACTAGTATTGAGGCTCAGCAGGTGTACCGAGGAAGAGTGCAGATCACCGAAATTTCTTATTACATTTATTTACGTTCATCGGTTCTTTAGTCCCTCTGATACATTTCTCACACTTCCAGGATTTCTCCAAGGAGGAAGGATACGCTTGTCTCAAAGGCACTTTTAAGGCTCAGCGTGTGGGCCCTGCTATTTAAATAGTTTGGTGTGAAGGAGACAAGTTTAAAATACCAAAAGCAATTGTGTAAAGGTATTGTTTTAAATCTCTCTTAGGCCAGTTTGCCTGGGCTTACGTCAGAGACCCCTACGTATGGCATTAGTTAGTGAGGGCTCACTAAAGAACGCAGACTCAACCAGCTAATCTGCAGTTTGTCATATTAAAGAATAGCAGGAGAAACACAATCTTTGAAATGAAATCTCACCACTTCTCCTGACCTCGGTGACCCTGGCATAGGGGAGAGTCCTTTCCACCCAGCTGGTCCGGGCGTCGGGTCACACGTCTGGATTCAGCAGCTTATTGGTAGGTTCTGTCAACTCTGCTTCGTGCTGTGACCATGATGTGGGGGGCAGAGAGAGTCTTTCCCACATGGGGATTTAGCAAAGCTCTGAGGTCCACATGTGGTTACAGGTTATATCCCCTTATTTCTATTTGGCCCTGGTAAACGGGCACTCAGATGTCAGCTCTCTGGTTTTCAGCTGCTTCCATCACCATCCAGCAGATGGTGTTGGGACATAACAAATTTCTTGGATGCTCCTATGCAGTGTTGTAGCCTTGTTGGTCCCAGGATATTAGAGAGACAAGGAGTGTGGGGGAGAGAATTGCTTTTATTGGACCAACTTCTGTTGGTGAGAGAGACAAGCTTTTGAGCCACACAGAGCTCTTCTCCAGGACTGGGAAAGGTACTGAGCGTGTCACAGCTAAATACAAGGTGGGACCGATTGTTTAGCATCAGGAGTTAACACATTTCAAGGGACCATTCAAGGGGAAGTGGCCAGTTAACACCCCCTCCAGACTTAGGGGAGAGGAAACTGGGGGGGGGGTTTAGGGAGTTGTAGATTCTTGAAATAAGCCATAAATCCCGTGTCTCTATCGGTCCATGATTTTTAGTGTCTAGCTAAGTTCTGAATTGAAGTTTCCAGACTCATCTTTTGAAGGTGTTGTGCAGGTTTCCTTTGAGGACAAGGACCGAGAGGTCAGATAGGCAGTGATCGTTCTGTGAAAAGTGTTCGCCCACAGGTGATAGGTTTTTTTTTTTTTCTTCTGTAATGTTTCTGTGTGAGTTAATTTGAGAGTGTAGTGCAGGGATGGGGAACCTACGGTGCATGGGCTGGATCCGGCCCACTGCTTAATTTCATCTGGCCTGCAGCAAGTCTCCACAACGTGGGCCAGAAGCCCTGAGCCTCAGTGCTCCCCCCCACACACACACACAGCTCCTGGAAGCAGCCAGCATGTCCCTGTGGCTCCTAGGCGAAGGAGCGATCAGGGAAGCTCCGCGTGCTGCCCTCACCCCCAGCGCCGGTTCTACAGCTCCCATTGGCCGGGAACTGCAGGCGGGGGGCAGGGGCGGCGCCTGTGGGCAGAGCCGCCTGGCCATGCCTCTGCCTACGGGCTGGACATGCCAGCTGCTTCCAGCCGCAGTGCAGAGACAGGGCAGGCAGGGAGCCTGCCTTAGCCCCACTGCACCGCTGACCGGGAGCCACTTGAGGTAAGCACCGCACGGCCGGAGCCCGCACCCTGAACTCCCTGCCCCAGCCCTGAGCCCCCTCCCACATCCAAACTCCTTCCCAGAGCCACCACCCCGAACCTCCTCCCACACCCAACCCCCTGCCCCAGCCTGGAGCCCCCTCCCACACCCTGAACCCCTCATTTGTAGCCCCACCCCGGAGCCTAGGGGAAGCCCCAAGCCTCCGCGCTCCCCTGCGGGTCTGTGTGTGGCCCACTACTGATTTTTTCTGTGGGTCAATGGCCCCTGATAGAAAAAGGGTTCCCCACCCCTGGTGTAGTGATTGTCTCATTTCACCCACATAGTTGTTATTGGGGCATTCAGTGTGCTGGATGAGGTGCACCACATGTTGGGATAGGCACGTGTAGGACCCATGGATCTTGACAGATGTGTTGTGGGGGGTGTGGATCATTGTAGCAGTGGAGCTGTGTCTGCAGGTTTTGCACCTGTTTTTCTAGCTGAGTCTGGTGCCGCTTTGGGCTGGTGGGTCCTGGCCTGTGGGCAGCTGAAAGATTCTAGAAAGAAATCTTTCCCAAACCACCTCTTCCAGCCTTCAAATAACGCTCCAGCCTCTTCAAGCTCATCATCAGAAGCCAGCTCCCTACAGACCAGGACCCACCAACTCACCTAGTATTTAGCTGTGACACTCCGAGGGGTTGTCTACACATAAACTGCTACAGTGACACAACGGCATCGTTGCCCCTGCAAGGCTGTAGCGCCTCAGTGAAGTCGCTACCTATGCCAACAGACAGGGTTCTTCCATCGGCAGGGCCGGCTCCAGGCACCAGCCTGGCAAGCAGGTGCTTGGGGCAGCCGCTGCGGAGAGGGGCGGCATGTCCAGATATTCAGCGGCAATTCGGCGGACGGTCCCTCACTCCCGCTGGGAGCAAAGGACCTCCCGCCGAATTGCCGCCGCAGATTGCGATCGGGATTGCGGCTTTTTTTTTTTTGGCTGCTTGGGGCGGCCAAAACCCTGGAGCCGGCCCTGTCCATCGGCATAGGTAATCCATCTCCCCAAGAGACGGTAGCTAGAATTCTCCCGTTGGCCTAGCCTATTCTACACCGGGGATTAAGTTGGTTTAACTGCGTTGCTCAGCGGGATGGATTTTTCACACTCCTGAGTGACACAGTTATACCCACCTAATTTCCTAGTGTAGACTAGGCCTGAGGACCTTCCCCGGACCTGAAGAAGAGCTCTGTGTAAGCACGAAAGCTTGTCTCTCTCACCAACAGAAGTTGAGCCAATAAAAGATATTACCTCCCCCACCTTGTCTCTTCGATGCTCCTATTAGTCAGAAGGTTTAATTCATTCCATGGATTGTATTTCAGTATTAGCCTGGACTATGAACTGGGCTCCCCCCTTTTACATGCTTATATCTTTTAACATTCCTGTCTCTTGCTTGTGCTATACAATAGCTGTCACTTCTAGAGCGCAGCAACCAATTAGAAAGGAAACAAACAACCTCTTAGGCCTGGTCTACACTAACCCCCCAATTCGAACTAAGATACGCAACTTCAGCTACGTGAATAACGTAGCTGAAGTCGACGTACCTTAGTTCGAACTTACCACGGTCCAGACGCGGCAGGGCAGGCTCCCCCGTCGACTCCGCGTACTCCTCTCGCCGAGCAGGATTACCGGAGTCGACGGCGAGCACTTCTGGGTTCGATTTATCACGTCCAGACAAGATGCGATAAATCGAACCCAGAAGTTCGATTGCCTGCCGCCGAACCAGCGTGTAAGTATAGACATACCCTTATAGTCCTCTAAATCCATGGACACGGGCCAGACATTCTTTGATTGTATCTAATACGTTTCACTTCACGTCTTCCAGGGCTTATCATAGGACATGAGACATTGCATCAGAGGAACAAGACAGATTATTCACACAGAGATAAATCAGGCAAACAAATGTGCAATGGGGCTGGAGGTGAAGGCAGGGTAGTTTGGATTTCTTGGGGAAACGGGGTTTACCCTATTTGACCTTCAGTTTTCTGGGTCTCCCAGACAGTTGGCTCTAGTTGGTTTAACTCCTACAACTTCTATCCTCCTCCCTGGCCCTTGGTTCATGCATAGGAGACATAGGGCACTCTGCATGGGAAAAGGAAGTTATTCCTGTCAGTCGCCTGGCAGGGGGTTTCCTTAGCTAGACTGAAAGAGATAGGAATCTTAGCCACAAGTGAATGATGGGAGTCTTTGATTTGGTTGGAAGATTCCTTATCAAAGATCAGAGCTTCCTTTCCTGGGAACTGCGTATTTTAACTTTAGCCTAATGAATGCTCCCCAGACAAGATGTCCCACCTGTTGGGATGGGGCTACTGACTCTCATTGGCTTTAGCTCTGAGGGGAAGCTAAAGGTTTGGAATATGCATAAGGGTGAGTGTTGACAATCTTACTTGCTGCAGACAGAAGGGCAGAGAATCAGTGGCGGATTAGCCATTGGGCCAACGGGGCCCATGCCCAGGAGTCTGGGCCAATTGGGAGGCCCTGGGGAAAATGGGCGCCCCCACACCCTGGCCCGCTCCCCCAACTCGCCCAGTGCTCCTTCCGGGTAGCAGGGGAAGCCCCAGCACCCCAACCCCGCTCCCCAGCAGGAGTGCCGGGGTGTGTGAAGGGAGACTTCAGGTGGAAGGGGTGGGGAGGGGCCCCATTTGTTCTGGTCCAGGGCCCCACAAACCCCTAATCCACCTCTGCAAAGAAGGAGCAAGAGCCGTAGCTGCTAACAACGTATGTTTGAGAAATATTTTAATATCTGTACGTCTACATGGAGCAAAGCAAGTGGGGTTGGATAATACAATGAAAGACAATGATAATAATTTGTGAGACCTAATAATGGCCTCACAAATGATCATCTGGCACCTGCTACCTGCCTCCCTCAGTGGTTTGAGCATTGGCCTGCTAAACCCAGGGTTGTGAGTTCAGTCCTTGAGGGGGCCATTTAGGGATCTGGGGCAAAAATCTGTCTGAGGATTGGTCCTGCTTTGAGCAGGGGGTTGGACTAGATGACCTCCTGAGGTCCCTTCCAACCCTGATATTCTATGATTCTACAATGGGAGATAAAGCAGCAGAAGGTCCCTCGAAGGAGGCCTGTTCTGATGTGGTCAGAGGTTTTAAACACCAACAGGAAGTCAATGGCAGGCTGTTACAGGGGATCAGGACTCCAAATGAGAGTGAAATGTTCTCTCACAGGGAAACAGGTTCATTGTGATGGGAGATTTTAGGGATGGGGAGCAGAGATTGGGAATGGGGCAGGGGATAGATCCCTGTCTGTCTGGCAGTCTGAAATGCACTAGTTTCCAAAGCCCACCCTGGGCTCTGGCGCTGAACACTGCTGGTGACCAAGTCTGATCTCTGATCTCCTTCTAGAGTTGTTTTCGTCTCCAGTGCTGAGGGCAGCACACTCAGGTGACCCCATAGAAGGAAGCCCGGTGACTCTGAGTTGTGTCACACAGCTCAACCCCCAGAAATCGGACACATTGCTTCAGAGATTCTTCTACAAAGACAGCAGGGCCTTGGGAGAAGCTTGGAGCTCCCCTGACTACCACATCCCAGTGTCAGGGCTACAAGACTCAGGATCTTACCATTGTGAGGTGCAGTTTTCAAGTGTATGGAAACAGAGTCCCAAGTTAAAGATTGCTGTTAAACGTGAGTGTCTGGGGCAGGGATGCTGGGGGCAGGTTCTGAAGGTTCCCACCTACCTGGGATGGAAAGAAAACCACATGGAATCTATGCAGAGCTTCCTGTGGCTTCTGAGCCTGATAAATTCCATAGTGCAAAATAGAGTTTCGGAACGGTGGCTGGAGTTGAATCAGCTCTGCTCGCACAGGGCCAAAAGAGCACAGCACGTCAGCTCGTGGGGGAACCCGACCAGGGTGGGGGATGCTGGGGGCTGAGCTCGTGTGAGAATCTGGCCCTGGATACAATGAAATCTTGGCAGAGAACTTGATGCCAAAGCAACGGCTTGGAGGCCTCAGGGAGAGGAGCCAGTTGACATTGTCTTGGATTGTTCTGATTTGCTACTTTGACCCAGTTGAGGGGATAGGTGGGACTGACCCAGATAAAGGGCCTGGTTTTGCTCCCATTGGAGTCAATGGAAAAACTCCCCTTGCTACAGTGAGAGCAGGATCACAGCAGAGCCTAGACTGACTGATGGTGCAAAGTGAATCTGGGCATGTTTTTTGGCAGGCAGATTAACCCTCAATTGTCAGGGCTGAAGCCGATTTGACTATCAGCGACCAGGCTGGGTCCTGCGATGAGGGCAGATGATCCCCCAGCTGCAGGTTCTGACTGTGACGGGATCCCCGGGGTGCAGCCTGGGACTGTGGGACCACTGAGCCCCCTAACTCTCCAGCCTGGGCTGTCTCTCACAATGCTTTGCTAGTGACAAGCAGCAAACCCCTCCAGGTGCTGTGATCACTCAGCACAACAGCATGTGGAGCCTCCCACCCAGCTAGATTGCATGAATGCTCCCAGAGCCACTGGGGTTATTTAGTCTGCAGAAGAGAAGAGTGAGGGGGGATTTGATAGCTGCTTTCAACTACCTGAAAGGGGGTTCCAAAGAGGATGGAGCTCGGCTGTTCTCAGTGGTGGCAGATGACAGAACAAGGAGCAATGGTCTCAAGTTGCAGTGGGGGAGGTCTCGGTTGGATATTAGGAAACACTATTTCACTAGGAGGGTGGTGAAGCACTGGAATGGGTTACCTAGGGAGGTGGTGGAATCTCCATCCTTAGAGGTTTTTAAGGCCCGGCTTGACAAAGCCCTGGCTGGGATGATTTAGCTGGGATTGGTCCTGCTTTGAGCAGGGGGTTGGACTAGAACCTCCTGAGGTCCCTTCCAACCCTGATATTCTGTGAATCACACAGAGAAAGGCACCAGCCAAATCCCCCCAGCTCCCAGTCTTGTACCTCAGGAATATACCATCTCGCACTGCTCAAGATAAGCAGTGCGAATTTATTAAGTGGTTCACCACTTCAGCAATGGAAAGGGGACATACACCAGCCTTTGCCAACCTGAGCAGATTTACCACACACTTCATGTGGACCCATGATCCATGTGTTGTGAGCCTGGGCCCTGCATTCTGTCCCCTCCCCAAATCAATGCTCTACACACAGGACTCCTACCCTTACACACAGGACAGAAGTGCTGATCTGTCCAGATGGCACCGAGCCCATCCCTTGGGTCACCGCAGCACGTCCTGCCCTCCTTTGTCCCCCTCTCCCACAGGAATCCCGGTGTCCCGAGTCTCCCTGGAGGTCCAGCCCCTCAGGGGACAGGTGACGGAAGGGGAGCGGCTGGTGCTGAACTGCTCTGTGACTATGGGCACGGGGCCAATCACCTTCTCCTGGCACCGAGAGGACTCCAATCAGGCTCTGAGAACAGAGACTCGGAGCTCTCAGAGGATGGTCTATGAGATCTCCGCGGCCACGGAGACCGACACAGGGGAGTATTACTGCATGGCCTCCAACGGCAACGCCCCAGCACCGAGCCCAAGGGTGAAAGTTGCCGTGAAGGGTGAGCCAGGTCCCAGCTGAGTGATGTGGTGACAGGGGCTTTACCCCGCCCGGGTGGGCCTGAGAGACTCTCCCTAGCCATAAGGTCAGCAGGGGGATGTTGGGGGGATACTGTTGCTGGCTTGGGCCTGCTGAGAGGGACGAGGCCCATGGCTGTAGCAGCTGGAAGCCCCAGGGAGGGACGTAGCCTGCGCGCGGGGCTGTGAATGGAGTTGGTTGAAATGCATTTGTCAAACTCCCCCACAGAGCAGAGAGGCCTGTCACACGCACCCCGGGGGGGTACCTCTGCCGACTTCCAGCCTCCCCACCCTGCAGAGATGGGGCATGTTACACTGCGCCCTTGGGCGGGCTGCTGGCAACCGGGAGAACCGGGAATTGGGCTCTAAATGTACAAGCCTCTCCTGCCTGAGTCGAAAGCCCCAGCTTGGCAGCCACGGCTGTAGCAGGCTCAGCCACCACTAGAGGGGCCAGAGCACCAACCTGGTGGGTGTGGGGTATGCTTGTGCCCAGGGGGATCACAGCTGGCTGGGGAGGTGGCTGGGCCTAGCTGGGCCTCAGAGCAGCCTAGGGTTGCCAGGCGTCCGGTTTTAGACCAGAACGCGTGGTTGAAAAGGGACCCTGGCGGCTCTGGTCAGCACCTCCGACTGGGCAGTTAAAAGTCCAGTCGGAGGTGCTGCGACACGAAGGCAGGTTCCCTAACTGTCCTGGCTCTGCGTTTTGCCCCCGCCAGCAGGTCTGGCTCCTAGGCAGGAGGGGCACTAGGCTCCGCACGCTGTCCCCGCCCCGAGCACCAGCTCCGCACTCCCATTGGCCAGGAACCGCGGCCAATGGGAGCTGTGGGGGCAGTGCCTGTGGGCGAGAGCACCGCACAGAGCCACTTGCCATGCCTCCGCCTGGGAGCTGGACGTCCTGGCTGCTTCCTGGATACAGCACAGAATCAGGACAGGCAGGAAGCCTGCCTTACCCCCCCCCTCCTCCCCCCACCGCTGCACCGCTGACTGGGAGCCGCCGGAGGGAAGCCCATGCCCCAACCCCCAACCCCCTGCCCCAGTCCTGAGCCCCCCCAAACCTGGAGCCCCCTCCTGCACCCCAAACCACTCATCCCTGGCCCCACCCCAGAATCTGCACCCCCAGATGGAGCCCTCACATCCCCCTGCACCACAACCTCCTGCCTCAACCTGCACCCTGAACCCCTCTGCCCCACCCCAGAGCCCCCTCCCACACCCTGAACTCCTCTGCCCCAGCCTGGAGCCTCCTCCTGCACCCTGAACCCCTCATCCCCAGCCCCGTCCCAGAGCCCGCCCCCCCATATGGAGCCCTCACAATCTCCTGCACCCCAAACCCCTGCCCCAACCCAGAGCCCGCTCCCACACCCTGAACCCCTCTGCCTCACCCCCCAGTCTGGAGCCACCTCCTGCACCCCAAACCCCTCATAGAATCATAGATTATCAGGGTTGGAAGGGACCTCAGGAGGTCATCTAGTCCAACCCCCTGCTCAAAGCAGGACCAATCCCCAACTAAATCATCCCAGCCAGGGCTTTGTCAAGCCTGACCTTAAAAACCTCTAAGGAAGGGGATTCCACCACCTCCCTAGGTAACCCATTCCAGTGCTTCACCACCCTCCTAGTGAAAAAGTTTTCCTAATATCCAACCTAAACCTCCCCCACTTCAACTTGAGACCATTACTTCTTGTTCTATCATCTGGTACCACTGAGAACAGTCTAGATCGATCCTCTTTGGAACCCCCTTTCAGGTAGTTGAAAGCAGCTATCAAATCCCCCCTCATTCTTCTCTTCTGCAGACTAAATAATCCCAGTTCCTTCAGCCTCTCCTCATAAGTCATGTGCTCCAGCCCCCTAATCATTTTTGTTCTGCCCAGTGCAGTTGTCTGGGAGCTGACCTTGTTCATGAAGACAAAGGCAAAAAAAAGCATTTAGTACATTAACTTTCTCCACGTCCTCTGTCACTAGGTTGCCTCCCTCATTCAGTAAGGTGCCCACACTTTCCTTGACCACCTTCTTGTTGCTAACATACCTGTAGAAACCCTTCTTGTTACTCTTAACATCCCTTTGTCCAATCTTCCACTTCTTCTAAGCTTCTTTTTTGTCTTGAAGATCAGCAAGGATTTCACTGTTAATCCAAGCTGGTCACCTGCCATAGTCACTATTCTTTCTACACATCGGGATGGTTTGTTCCTGCAACCTCAATGAGGATTCTTTAAAATACAGCCAGCTCTCCTGGACTTCTTTCCCCTTCATGTTATTCTCCCAGGGGATCCTGCCCATCAGTTCCCTGAGGGAGTCAAAGTCTGCTTTTCTGAAGTCCAGGGTCCGTATTCTGCTGCTCTCCTTTCTTCCTTGGGTCAGGATCCGGAACTCGACCATCTCATGGTCACTGCCTCCCAAGTTCCCATCCACTTTTGCTTCTCCTACTAATTCTTCCCGGTTTGTGAGCAGCAGATCAAGAAGAGCTCGGCCCCTAGTTGGTTCCTCCAGCATTTGCACCAGGAAATTGTCCCCTACACTTTCCAAAAGCTTCCTGGATTGTCTGTGCACCGCTGTATTGCTCTCCCAGCAGCTATCGGGGTGATTGAAGTCCCCCATGAGAACCAGGGCCTGTGATCTAGTAACTTCTGCTAGTTGCTTGAAGAAAGCCTCGTCCACCTCATCCCCCTGGTCTGGTGGTCTATAGCAGATTCCCACCATGACATTACCCTTGTTGCTCACACTTCTAAACTTAATCCAGAGACTCTCAGGTTTTTCTGCAGTTTCATACTGGAGCTCTGAGCAGTCAATACTCCTCTCTTACATACAATGCAACTCCCCCACCTTTTCTGCCCTGCCTGTCCTTCCTGAACAGTTTATATCCATCCATCATAGTACTCCAGTCATGTGAGTTATCCCACCAAGTCTCTGTATCAGAGGGGTAGCCGTGTTAGTCTGAGTCTGTAAAAAGCAACAGAGGGTCCTGTGGCACCTTTAAGACTAACAGAAGTATTGGGAGCATAAGCTTTCGTGGGTAAGAACCTCACTTCTTCAGATGCAAGTAATGGAAATCTCCAGAGGCAGGTATAAATCAGTGTGGAGATAACGAGGTTAGTTCAATCAGCGAGGGTGAGGTGCTCTGCTAGCAGTAGAGGTGTGAACACCAAGGGAGGAGAAACTGCTTCTGTAGTTGGATAGCCATTCACAGTCTTTGTTTAATCCTGATCTGATGGTGTCAAATTTGCAAATGAACTGGAGCTCAGCAGTTTCTCTTTGGAGTCTGGTCCTGAAGTTTTTTTGCTGTAAGATGGCTACCTTAACATCTGCTATTGTGTGGCCAGGGAGGTTAAAGTGTTCTCCTACAGGTTTTTGTATATTGCCATTCCTGATATCTGACTTGTGTCCATTTATCCTCTTGCATAGTGACTGTCCAGTTTGGCCAATGTACATAGCAGAGGGGCATTGCTGGCACATGATGGCATATATAACATTGGTGGACGTGCAGGTGAATGAGCCGGTGATGTTGTAGCTGATCTGGTTAGGTCCTGTGATAGTGCTGCTGGTGTAGATATGTGGGCAGAGTTGGCATTGAGGTTTGTTGCATGGGTTGGTTCCTGGGTTAGAGTTGTTATGGTGCGGTGCGTGGTTGCTGGTGAGAATATGCTTAAGGCTGGCGGGTTGTCTGTGGGCGAGGACTGGCCTTCCTCCCAAGGTCTGTGAAAGTGAGGGATCATTGTCCAGGATGGGTTGTAGATCACTGATGATGCGTTGGAGAGGTTTAAGCTGAGGGCTGTAGGTGATGGCCAGTGGAGTTCTGTTGGTTTCTTTTTTGGGCCTGTCTTGTAGCAGGAGGCTTCTGGGTACACGTCTGGCTCTGTTGATTTGTTCCTTTATTTCCTTGTGTGGGTATCGTAGTTTAGAGAATGCTTGGTGAAGATCTTGTAGGTGTTGGTCTCTGTCTGAGGGGTTGTAGCAGATGCGGTTGTACCTCAGTGCTTGGCTGTAGACGATGGATCGTGTGGTGTGTCCGAGGTGGAAGCTGGAGGCATGAAGGTAGGCATAGCGGTCGGTGGGTTTTCAGTATAGGGTGGTGTTAACATGGCCATTGCTTATTTGTACTGTGGTGTCCAGGAAGTGGACCTCCCGTGTAGATTGGTCCAGGCTGAGGTTGATGGTGGGGTGGAAGCTGTTGAAATCATGGTGGAATTCTTCCAGGGTCTCCTTCCCATGGGTCCAGATGATGAAGATGTCATCAATGTAGCGTAGGTAGAGAAGGGGTGTGAGTGGACGAGAGCTGAGGAAGCGTTGTTCCAGGTCAGCCATAAAGATGTTGGCATATTGTGGGGCCATGCGGGTGCCCATAGCGGTGCCACTGGTCTGGAGGTATATATTGTCACCAAATTTGAAATAATTTTCAAGTCTCTGTTATTTCAATCACATCATAGTTCCTTGACTGTGCCAGGACTTCCAGTTCTCCCTGCTTGTTTCCCAGGCTTCTTGCATTTGTGTATAGGCACTTAAGCTAACTTGCTGATTGTCCTGCTTTCTCAGTATGAGGCAGGAGTCCTCCCCTCTTGCGCTCTTCTGCTCGTGCTTCCTCCTGGTATCCTACTTTCCCACTTACCTCAGGGCTTTGGTCTCCTTCCCCCGGTGAACCTAGTTTAAAACCCTCCTCACTAGGTTAGCCAGCCTGCTTGCGAAGATGCTCTTCCCTCTCTTTGTTAGGTGAAGCCCGTCTCTGCCTAGCAATCCTTCTTCTTGGAACACCATCCCACGGTCAAAGAATCCAAAGCCTTTTCTCAGACACCACCTGCGTAGCCATTCGTTGACTTCCACGATTCGACGGTCTCTACCCGGGCCTTTTCCTTCCACAGGGAGGATGGACAAGAACACCACTTGTGCCTCAAACTCCTTTATCCTTCTTCCCAGAGCCACGTAGTCTCATCCCCAGCTCCACCCCAGATCCCGCATCCCCATATGGAGGCCTCACAATCTCCTGCACCCCAACCCCCTGCCCCAACCCAGAGCCCCCTCCCACACCCTGAACCCCTCTGCCCCACCCCCCAGTCTGGAGCCCCCTCCTGCACCCCAAACCCCTCATCCCCAGCCCCATCCCAGAGCCTGCACCCCCAGATGGAGCCCTCACCCCCTCCCGCACCCCAACACCCTACCCCAGCCCAGTGAAAGGGTGTGGGAGAGTGAGCCACCGAGGGAGGAGGAATGTAGTGAGTGAGGGGCAGGGGATGTGGCCTCGGGGAAGGGGCAGGGCTAGAGTGTTCGGTTTTGTGCAATTAGAAAGTTGGCAACCCTAGAGCAGCCTGCTGCCTCAATGACACGAGGGGTAAATGGGCTGACGCGCCAGGTCCAGAACACGATGGTCCTTCCCTTCGAATGACCTGATATCTGTACAGGGCAGCGCCAAGGAGCCCAGCCAGGGACCCGGCCCACGGTGCTGGGCATTACACCGACAGAGCCAGGAGACACTCTCGCCCAGAGAGCTCCTAATCCTAGTGAATTCCCTGCCCCTCCTCTCAGCTCCCTGGGGTACAGGCTGAGCCCTGACCTGCCCCGATTTTCTGTCAGTTCCAGTGTCCCCGCCTCGCCTGACCGTCAACGCGGCCGGCGCCTGGGCCACCATCGGGGACGTGGTGGAGATCCGGTGCGAGTCGCCCCGTGGCTCAGCCCCCATCCTCTATCAGTTTCATCACGAGGGGGCTGCTCTGGGGAACAGGACGGTCAGTTCCCGAGGGCCAGGATCCCTCGCCCTGAATGTGACATCTGAGCGGGATTCTGGGACCTACTCCTGCGAGGCTGATAATGGCATGGCCAGCGGCCCCCAGCACAGCAACCCCTTCCACCTCTCTGTGCTCGGTATGCTGGCTCCACGCACTCCCTCGGGGTGGGGTGGGGTCGGACGGGGCAGGATCTCTGTGTGTAGACCGGGATGATGGTGGGACGAGCTGCGGTGGTGACTGTGAGGAGCGGGACATGGCAGCATCCTGACTCCCACATGTAGGGGCTCCTCCGTTCTCTGTCCCTGGTGCTTCTGTGTGGTGGGCAGGATGGACCCCACGCCGCTGACTGGGCTGTGGGACTCTGCCCTCGACCCTCCCATCGTGGTAAGGGAGCTCCCTTGGGTAAACAAGGTCCAGACATCGCTACCTCTGGAGCCTGTTCTCTATTGCGTGGCCCAGCCTGGGTTACCCCTTTCTGGTGTGTCTGTGATGGAGAATCTCTCCACCCCCGACCCTGCTCTCAGGCTGTCTCCCTTGTGCTTGCAGTGCCTGTGTCCGGGGCCACCATTGCCGCAGATCGCATGGGGCCAGAGGTCATGGCTGGAGAAAGCCTGAATCTCAGCTGCTCGGTGGAGTCCGGCACCGCCCCCCTGTTCAAGTGGCTTCACAACGCCCAGGAGCTGGCTGCAATCTCGGGGCTCGGCCCGCCCACGGCTGTGGGGAACACCCTGTATTTCGGGTCTGTGCAGCTGGGCCATGGAGGGAATTACCAGTGCATTGCCAGCAACCAGCTCAGCCCCCAGAGAGTCTTCCAGGCCCCCAGTGAGATCCTGACCATCGCCGTGATAGGTACCTGCAGGGCTTGGCTCAGGGACAGTGGAGGGAGAGGCCAGGCTGGGATCTAGACTCAGGTCCAGTTCACATTCAGGTTCAGAATTCAGATTCCAGACCCCATCGGGATGGGATGTCCATGGGTAACCCCCTGGCCAGCGTGTGTTACATGTCCCTTCTGGGCCTGATCCACAGAGGAGCTGGGTCCGGTAAAGCCCCTCCTAGAGAGGCTTGGCTCAAGCTGTAGCAGCTCCTGCTCTCAGCTCTGGAGGTCCCCAGACCAACCCCTGGTGTGTCGGCCAAGATGGTGGCCATCACAGTGACACCAAAACCAGGTGGGCTCGCCTTGTGCAGCTTTGGACACAGGCTGTGAAACTCTCACAAGATCAGCTGTTCCCATGAGATTCCAGCCACGCTGGAATGGAAGCTGGGTTTGGATCTGACCCAGAATCAAAGCTACAGAGTTAGAGATTAAAATGTGAGCCTCCTGCACCATAGTCCTTACCCAGAAATCAAAGGGCTCTGATGCTGGTGGTGGCCCGTTCTCTCTATTGATCCTTTCAATAGTGACCAGAACAGAGCTCCTCATTGCTAGATCCCAAAGAGCAGATCAGGGTCACTGGCCCCATGCTCTAGTTCAAATGGGAATTATTTCAAGGGCCTGTGCTGTACAGGAAGTCAGGCTCGATCACAGAGGCCCCATCTGGCTTTGAAATCTATGATTTGTATAGATGGGGAAACTGAGGCACAGAGCGGGGACAGGACCTGCCCAAGGCCACACAGTGAATCAGAGGGAGAACTCAAGTGCCCTGGCTCCCAGTCTGAGGCCTGACCCATTGGACTGGGTCCTGCGCCCTGTGGTCACTGACAGAGGTGTGGTTCAACAGGCTCAGTTGGTTTCTGGCGGGAAGTCTCCTCTCCAGGAGCAGTGTGTTTATCTGGGCATGTTCCCTTTGTCTTCTCCAGAGCACGCGAGCTCCCGGGTGGTTGTGCCTGCGACTGTCTCCTTCCTGTTCCTGATCCTGATGGGTGTCACTGCGGCTCTGGTGTTCTACTTCAAGTGCTGGAAGAAAGCAGGTGTGTGGCTCCTTCCACAGCGTGCGGCTATCACAATCCATCGGGTGCTTGGAAACTCATGGCCGTTTCCGAGTGTCTCTGGGAGCCTCAGCCATGCAACCGCTCCTGGGGAAAGGGAGCTTGAACTGGTCGGAGCCAGGGCGGATTCCAACGTCCTGCCAAATTCACACCATGAATTCTAGACCTTTGTCCCCACGCTTGCTCTACTATAATTTAGCTCTTTTGCCAAATCCATCCCACAGCTTTAGCCCTGGAGGCTCCTGAATGGGAAAAGGCTGATCCCTTCGGTCACATTTGGTGTCTCGTCTCCTGTAATGAATCACCCATGCCCCCTCCCTTGCATTCACTCCTCCTGAGAGCGACCCAGACCTGATGGCCAAGGTGACACATCTGGAGAGATTAATGCACCTTTTTCTCGCTTGCTTTGCAGAAGGAATGGTTTTCAATGCCCAGGGGAGGTGAGTCGGGCACAGACGGGGGGAGGCATGTTGGGGTGTGGGGCAGGGGAAAAGGACGAGTTCAGTGTTGCTTTGATTTAAATGGGTCGTGATTTAATCATTAAGTGACCCGTTGATTTCAGCTCTTGGCCCTCCTGGTTGCTTCCCCTCCGTTCTATGTGGGCTTTCTGGAGCTGACTCTATATAGCACGTCCACCTGAATGCTTTGGGGCCCGATTCTCCTTTGCCTTGCACCTTGTGGGTCATTGATCCCAGTGCAATGTGGGTGTAAAGTGCCATCACATCAGAGCAGCAGCGTTTTACTGCCACACTGTGCTGGTGCAGAAGGACACACAAGGGACAGGGCAGCAGAGAAAGGTAAACATGGTCCCTACCTTTAAAAGTGGGAGCAAAGAGAACCCGGGGAATTATAAACCTATCAGTCTAACTTCGATACCTGGAAAGATACTGGAACAACCAATCTGTAAGCACTTAGAAGACAAAAGGGTAATAAGTCATAGCCAATGTGGATTTGTCAAGAACAAGTCATGCCATACCAACCTAATTTCCTTCTTTGACAGAGTTACTGACCTAGTGGATACCCCCTCCACTAGGCCAGTAACTCTGTCAAAGAAGGAAATAGAACATAAGAACCGTCATACTGGGTCAGACCAATGGCCCATCTAGCCCAATATCCTGTCTTCTGACAGTGGCCAATGCCAGGTGCTTCAGAGGGAATGAATAGAACAGGGCAATTATTGAGTGATCCACCCCCTGTCATCCAGGCTAGGGACATCCAGAGCACGGGGTTGCACCCCTGACCATCTTGGCCAACATGGGCGGTACTCTGTGGTGCTCCAGGGCTGGGGAATAACTGGCTAGGCAGTAGAACTCCTGAAAAGCATCTGGGGGTTGTAGAGGATCACAGATTGGATGTGTCAACAGTGTGATGCCTTGCAAAAATGGCAAATGTCATTCCGGGAGGTATTAACAGGAGTGTTGCATGCAAGACACGGGAGATAACTGTCCTGCTCTACTCAGCACTGGCGAGGCCTCAGCTGAAGTACTGTGGCCAATTTTGAGTGCCATGCTTTAAGAAAGATGCGGACAAATTGGAGAGAGTTCCGAGGACAGCAAGAAAAATGATAAACCCTGGTTTACAAAACCTGGCCTATGAGGAAAGGTTAGAAAAAACGAGGCATGTATAGGCTTGAGAAAAGAAGACCGAAAAGATCAGTCTTCATATATGTTAAGGGCTGTTATAAAGAGGACAGTGATCAATTGTTCTCCAGGGCCACGGAAGTTAGAACAAGATGTAATGGACTTAATCTGCAGCAAGAGAGATTTAGCTTAAATACTAGGAAAACTTTTCTATCCATAAGGGGAGTTAAACTCTGGGAGGTTTAAGAACAGGTTGGACAAACACCTGCCAGGGATGGTCTAAGTTTCCATGGTCCTGCCTCAGGGTAGTGGACTGGATTTGACCTCTCAAGGTCCCTTCCAGCCTGACATTTCTGATTCTATGATATTTCTGTACCCAACTTGACTCACCTTGAGGCAAAAGGGGAGACACCAAAGTCACAGGTTGCTCCTGAATATTTGGGCCCCCACTTGTTCAGCGGTGGAAGACAGCACGCTCACCGCCTGCTCGTTATGAGATGTAAGAACCAGTTTTTCATTACTGAAGCTGGCTTCTTAGATTTACCTGGCCTCTCCACTGTTCTCAGCTTACAGCAGTAACCTTCGTCACAGGGTGGGCAGCAGCAACATGTGGTCTGGTAGATTGCCTAGGGAGGTGGTGGAGTCTCCTTCCTTGGAGGTTTTTAAGGCCCGGCTTGACAAAGCCCTGGCTGGGATGATTTAGTTGGGATTGGTCCTGCTTTGAGCAGGGGGTTGGACTAGATGACCTCCTGAGGTCCCTTCCAACCCTAATATTCTATGATTCTATGAAAGGGGTGTGGCTCAGTGGGCGGGGTTTATTCAGGGTTTTGCCTGCCAGGAAGGGGGTGGCCACAGAGGGCCAGGTGCATTTCTGACACTAGATTCACACAACAGTCACATTTAGTGAGGGGATGGGAAGGGCCCATGACCCAAAAGCAGCAGGACCCCTCTCCCCCTCCCCCCTTCCCCTGGAAATGTTCAGGGCTGAATTCTCATTACGCTTAGCCCTGTCACCCCTGGCCCTGCCCTCGGTGTGTGCGAGCTCTGGCCCTCAGCGTTTTCCTGCCTTCTCCATCTCGTGCTGGCTCTTCCTCTCTCTGGTCTATGTCTGCCCGGTTCCACTGTGCTCACTGTGTCTTCCTATCCCCAGGGACACACAGCTCCCAGCCCAGCACGAACCCCCTGGCCAGAGGCTGCCTCCACCGGGGAGCTTGGGCCTCCATGCTGAAGAGCCATCTTACGGCAATGGTAAGGGGAAATAACCTGTGCTCAGGGGATGTGACGTTGCTGGAGGCCTGCGTGTGGCCGACACCAGAGAGGGGAGGCGGTGCCCCTCCCCCGAGGCACGGGCTGGGTCCCAAGGTTGTGGAGAGCTGCCCAGGCGCTGTGGCTGTGCTGCTCTCTCGGTTGTTGTCCCATTGTGCACACACAGTCTGTGACCTCGCTGGGAGGCACGGGTCAGACATGGCTCTGTGACCCTGGCCGTTGTTCCGAGGGAGCCATGGTTAATACCAGTGTGTGGTTAATACCAGGACTTTGTTGGCCTTGTCCGCACTAGAGCAGGGTTCTCTGCCTTCCCCAGGCTGGGGTCTCCATTTCCATACCGGGACCCTTCGGAACCCCCATCCCTCCCAGCTGGGACCCTGCCCCCCCTTCCAGTGAGCAGTGAGAACCCCAGCGCTAGAGAACTGAGCCAACCCCTTGTATTGAGCCCGTTTGGGTGCAAACAGCTCAGTGTGTCCATGCTGGCTGGGCTGGGTCATGCTCTGAGTCTTTGCACATCCCCACTAGTGCCATCCTTCCAATCGTAACACCCACCGAGTACCTATCCCCCAATCCCTGGCGTGGGGCTGTGGTGGGAGGAGGGTTTGCGCCGTGTCAGGGAGCTGGCTCCACCCTGGCACTGAAAGGCTGCAGGTGGCAGTGGTCAGCGCTCAGCCCTGCTGTAGCCTGGTCGGATCCCAGTGAAACGTGGCAAGTCGGCATGCTGCTGGGACGCCCTCTGGGAATGGGCAGCAGGCACACTGCAGCAGCTGCAGGGAGAGCAGATGGTGCCTAGCGCAGGCACTTGCTCTAGGGGCACAAGGCCAAAGATGTGGCTTTGTTTTCACAGTGTGTCCCCTGGAGCCGGAGAGTGGAGACGTGGAGTATACAGTTGTCAACATCAAGAAAAGCAGTGGGGGTGAGTGGAACAAAACAGTGTCTTGCCTCAAGAGGCAACAAAGGATGTAATAGAGATGTAGGGGATGAGACAGGCAGATGCGACTGACGTTTCCTTCACTTGCTCTGCAACTCTGCAGGCCAATTAACTTGTCCCTGGTGAAAGCCCCTGCAGGCGTACCGGTGTGGTCCATTAAGTGTAAAAAGCTTGAAGTGGCTGAGAACTGAAAAATGGATGGTAACAGACTGAGAGTCGCAGTGATTTGACCCTGGTGAAATCCTAAAGAACAAAGAGCGCTCGCTCCTGCTTGTAGCTGTTTCCGTGGTCTCACTCTGACTCAACAGACACTCTAGGCTTTAGAGTGACAGAAACAATCCTGGAATCTGGTTGTATAGATTGTGCCACTGATTTCTGTCTGTGTGTGCACAGGGGCAGAATGAACACAGCAGATAACATAAGAACGGCCGTACTGGGTTAGACCAAAGGTCCATCTAGCCCAGTATCCTGTCTACCGACAATGGCCAATGAATGCCAGGTGCCCCAGAGGGAGTGAACCCAACAGGCAATGATCAAATGATCTCTCTCCTGCTATCCATCTCCATCCTCTGACAAACAGAGGCTAGGGACACCATTCCTTACCCATCCTGGCTAATATCCATTAACGGACTTAACCTCCATGAATTTATCCCAGTTCTCTTTTAAACGCTGTTATAGTCCTAGTCTTTACAACCTCCTCAGGCAAGGAGTTCCACAAGTTGACTATGTGCTGTGTGAAGAACTTCCTTTTATTTGTTTTAAATCTGCTGCCCATTAATTTCATTTGGTGGCCCCTAGTTCTTGTATTATGGGAACAAGTAAATAACTTTTCCTTATTTACTTTCTCTACATCCCTCATGATTTTATATACCTCTATCATATCCCCTCTTAGTCTCCTCTTTTCCAAGCTGAAAAGTCCTAGCCTCTTTAATCTCTCCTCATATGGGACCTGTTCCAACCCCCTAATCATTTTAGTTGGCCTTCTCTGAACCTTTTCTAATGCCAGTATATCTTTTTTGAGATGAGGAGACCACATCTGTACGCAGTATTCAAGATGTGGGCGTACCATGGATTTATATAAGGGCAATAAGATACTCTCCGTCTTATTTTTTCTCCCCTTTTTAATGATTCCTAACATCCTGTTTGTTTTTTTGACCGCCGCTGCACACTGCGTGGACGTCTTCAGAGAACTATCCACGATGACTCCAAGATCTTTTTCCTGATTTCTTGTAGCTAAATTAGCCCCCATCATATTGTATGTATAGTTGGGGTTATTTCTTCCAATGTGCATTACTTTACATTTATCCACATTAAATTTCATTTGCCATTTTGTTGCCCAATCACTTAGTTTTGTGAGATCTTTTTGAAGTTCTTCACAGTCTGCTTTGGTCTTAACCATCTTGAGCAGCTCAGTATCATCTGCAAACTTTGCCACCTCACTTTTTACCCCTTTCTCCAGATCATTTATGAATAAGTTGAATAGGATTGGTCCTAGGACTGACCCTTGGGGAACACCACTAGTTACCCCTCTCCATTCTGAGAATTTACCATTTATTCCTATCCTTTGTTCCCTGTCTTTTAACCAGTTCTCAATCCATGAAAGGACCTTCCCTCTTATCCCATGACACCTTAATTTACGTAAGAGCCTTTGGTGAGGGACCTTGTCAAAGGCTTTCTGGAAATCTAAGTACACTATGTCCACTGGATCCCCGTGTCCACATGTTTGTTGACCCCTTCAAAGAACTCTAATAGATTAGTAAGACACGATTTCCCTTTACAGAAACCATGTTGACTTTTGCCCAACAATTTATGTTCTTCTATGTGTCTGACAATTTTATTCTTTACTATTGTTTCAACTAATTTGCCCGGTACTGACTTTAGACTTACTGGTCTGTAATTGCTGGGATCACCTCCAGAGCCCTTTTTAAATATTGGCGTTACATTAGCTATCTTCCAGTCATTGGGTACAGAAGCCGATTTAAAGGACAGGTTACAAACCTTAGTTAATAGTTCCGCAACTTCACATTTGAGTTCTTGGATGAATGCCATCTGGTCCCGTGACTTGTTACTGTTAAGTTTATCAATTAATTCCAAAATCTCCTCTAGTGACACCTCAATCTGTGACAATTACTCAGATTTGTCACCTACAAAAGCTGGCTCAGGTTTGGGAATCTCCCTAACATCCTCAGCCATGAAGACTGAAGCAAAGAATCCATTTAGTTTCTCCACAATAACTTTATTGTCTTTAAGTGCTCCTTTTTTATCTCGAAAGTCCAGGGGCCCCACTGGTTGTTTAGCAGGCTTCCTGCTTCTGATGTACTTAAAAAACATTTTGTTATTACTTTTTGAGTTTTTGGCTAGCTGTTCTTCAAACTCCTCTTTGGCTTTTCTTATTACATTTTTACACTTAATTAGACAGTGTTTATGTTCCTTTCTATTTACCTCACTAGGATTTGACTTCCACTTTTTAAAAGATGCCTTTTTATCTCTCACTGCTTCTTTTACATGGTTGTTAAGCCATGGTGGCTCTTTTTTAGTTCTTTTACTGTGTTTTTTAATTTGGGGTATACATTTAAGTTGGGCCTCTATTATGACGTCTTTGAAAAGCGTCCATGCAGCTTGCAGATGATCAGCAGGGATGTGCTGCGTGAGAGAGGAATTCCCTCCACACACGGCTTGGGCACCCCAAGTCGCATTTACAACCTAACAGGCGACACAGGGTGTATTTCACCCATACAGATCACTTCTCTCCACCCACCCTAGAAACGCATCCTCTTGGGAGTAGTGCTAACTGTGTAAATGGCACAGCGACAGGGCAGGACAGTGAGAGACAGGAAGCGGGGGAATACCACAGCCGAGTCACTTAAAGGGACACTGTCAACTTGAATTTTTTTAAATTGACTAATTTCAAACAATTCTGTTTTAGGGGAGAGCCCCCTTTAAACATTGCATCCCGAGTTGAAAGGAAGAGGGGTTCTGTGCTCCCCTGTTGATGTTAAAGGGGGTCTGCTCACTTAGTCATTTTCTTCTGTGCTTGACTGATTGTTCAAGGAAATTACTGTTCAAGTAACCCCATTCATGGCTCATCAGTGTAGTTTGAACCTGAGACTTTTAGCAGTAAAAGCATGGGCCTCTACCATTTGACCTAAAAGAATAAATCCATAAGCTGGTAGCAGTAGTAGGTTCTTGTCCTCTGTGTGGAGCAGGCACTGGGGGGGCGGGCAGCCCATGTAGACAGAGTGTCACACTTTCAAATGACAAAATAAACAAAAAAAAATGGGAAAAAGTATTTTCTCTACACTAACTTCTTACAAGTTCAGTCATCTCAGGCATTACTCATAACGTCATAACTACAAAACCAGCAGATAAATGTGATTTGTAAGTAGAACATGTCCCTTTAAACCAGCAGGAAATACTGAGCTGGGTGAATCTCATGGGTTGGAATTGGGATGCTTTTCTGAATCTCTTGGGTGGAAATTTCTACTGAGGTTTCTGGCTCTTCTGGCATCCGGCTCCGGCCTGGAATACTGTGGGAATGGTGTTTCCCTTGGCATTTTGGCTCTTGTGTCTCCATTCCCCATCAGAGTCCAGAAGCACCGAGGCAAACACAAACATGAGGAATAGAATCATAGAACTGGAAGGGACCTCGAGAGGTCATCTAGTCCAGTCCTCTGCACTCATGGCAGGACTGAGTATTATAAGTAGGGGCATTGCTGTATAAGTAGGGGCATTGCCAGCAGATGGAGGGACGTGATCATTCCCCTCTATTCGACATTGGTGAGGCCTCATCTGGAGTACTGTGTCCAGTTTTGGGCCCCACACTACAAGAAGGATGTGGAAAAATTGGAAAGAGTCCAGCGTAGGGTAACAAAAATGATTAGGGGGCTGGAGCACATGAGTTATGAGGAGAGGCTGTGGGAACTGGGATTATTTAGTCTGCAGAAGAGAAGAATAAGGGGGGATTTGATAGCTACTTTCAACTACTTGAAAGGGGGTTCCAAAGAGGATGGATCTAGACTGTTCTCAGTGGTACCAGATGACAGAACAAGGAGTAATGGTCTCAAGTTGCAGTGGGGGAGGTTTAGGTTGGATATTAGGAAAAACTTTTTCACTAGGAGGGTGGTGAAGCACTGGAATGGGTTACTTAGGGAGATGGTGGAATCTCCTTCCTTAGAGGTTTTTAAGGTCAGGCTTGACAAAGCCCTGGCTGGGATGATTTAGTTGGGGATTGGTCCTGCTTTGAGCAGGGGGTTGGGCTAGATAACCTCCTGAGGTCCCTTCCAACCCTGATATACTATGATTCTTTTCTATGATTATCTAGACCAGTGTCTCTCAAACTTTTTTGTACTGGTGACCCCTTTCACATAGCAAGCCCCTGAGTGCGACTCCTCTTATAAATTAAAAACACTTTTTAATATATTTAACACCATTATAAATGCTGGAGGCAAAATGGGATTTGGGATGGAGGTTGACAGCTCACGACCCCCCCATGTAATAACCTCGCAACCCCCTGAGGGGTCCCAACCCCCAGTTTGAGAACCCCTGATCTAGACCATCCCTGACAGGGGTTTGTCTAACCTGCTCTTAAAAATCTCCAATGATGGAGATTTCACAACCTTCCTAGGCAATTTATTCCAGTGCTTAACCACCCTGACAGTTAGGAAGTTTTTCCTAATGTCCAACCTAAACCTCCTGTGCTGCAATTTAAGCCCTTAATAAAGATGGCTGACACCTCCCACTGTATTTGATTAGACTGAAGCCAGGCCCACAGGCAACCACCCTTGGTGCAATTTAAGCCCATTCCTTCTTGTCCTATCCTCAGATCTTAAGAAAAACATTTTTTCTCCCTCCTCCTTGTAATAACCTTTTACATACTTGAAAACTGTTATCATATTCCCTCTCTGTCTTCTCTTTTCCAGACTAAACAAACCCAATTTTTTCAATCTTCCCTTATAGGTCATGTTTTCTAGACCTTTAATCATTTTAGTTGCTCTTTTCAGGACTCTCCAGTTTGTCCACATCTTTCCTGAAATGTGGCGCCCAGAACTGGACACAATACTCCAATTGAGGCCTAATCAGCGTGGAGTAGAGCGGAAGAATTACTTCTCGTGTCTTGCTTACAACACTACTGCTAATACATCCCAGAATGTTGTTCACTTTTTTTGCAGCAGTGTTACACTGTTGACTCATATTTAGCTTGTGGCTCACTATGACCCCCAGATCCCTTTCCGCAGTACTCCTTCCTAGGCAGTCATTTCCCATTTTGTATGTGTGCAACTGATTGTTCCTTCCTAAGTGGAGTACTTTGCATTTGTCCTTGTTGAATTTCATGCTATTTACTTCAGTCCATTTCTCCAGTTTGTCTAGATCATTTTGAATCTTAATCCTGTCCTCCAAAGCACTTGCAACCCCTCCCAGCTTGGTATCATCCGCAAACTTTATAAGTGTACTCTCTATGCCATTATCTAAATCACTGATGAAGATATGGAACAGAACCAGACCCAGAACTGATCCCTGCGGGACTCCACTCGTTATGCCCTTCCAGCATGACTGTGAACCACTGGATGGATGGGAAGGATGGGAAAAGTGACCTCGGCTTTTAAGACCCTTCAAAGCTTGCTCAGAACTTGGTTCCAGAAGCAGGCGGTGGGCTGGCAGTGCAGGGCTCTGACATCTTGAACAGATTCACCCTGATTAGCATTTATGTTGGGGGATGTAACTCCCCAGGCTGGGATCTGAGCACCTGTTTTGTGTCTCACACCCGTCCCATAGCTGGGGCTGGTCACTGAGGAGCTGGGCTGCTGGTGATGGGGGCTCAAGGGGTGAACGTTAATGCCTAGTCCTGATCCCTTCCTGTTCCTCTTGCAGATAAACCCAAGGGAACTCTGCCAAGGGACAACGTAAGTGCAACACCTCCCCCTCCCCAGTTCTGCTGCTCCCTCCCTGCTACTCTCTCTGGCCTTTGTCTGCCTCTGTCCCCGCACTCACTGTCCATGTGCCCTCTCCAGGAGGAATACTATGTCAGCTACTCTGTGTTTCCGGACCCCAAGCCCACCTGGGAGTCAGCCGCAGGAGCGAGGGCTCCAGAAGGGAAATCCCTACCCGACAGTGACATTTATGAAAACGTTCCCCACCTGTGACCTGCGAGTGACCCCAGCCCATCCCCTGGCCCAGCCTGGGGGAGTCTGACAGCCTCATTAACACTTCACTCCCCTGCTTGGCATGTAGGGCATGGAACGCAGCACATGCAGGCTGGGGCCATGGGGGCCTTGTCCCTGGCTGGTGCCCTCTGCATTGGGACTGACAAGCCAGAGCAAAGATGGAGGCAAATGCTCTGGGTCTGCACAGCTGCTGCTGCCTAGTGAGGCGTCGTGAGCAGATGACTTGCTGAGCCCTGATCTCTGTTAATCCCTGTGATGGGTCTGTGCCTCTCAGGTATCCATCCCAGGGGGTTGCCGGCTTGGCTGTTGTACATGGAGGATCTGGCCCAGTGGGACTTGTGACAACTGGGCTAGTCCGCCCTGCCACCAATAAAGGTTGGATTTGCTACCTGGTTTGTCTTTGAAATTCTTTCATTTGCTTAAAATGGCTTTATGTACAACCCTTGTCCCCGGGGACTGACCCGCGGGAAATGCCCTCTGCCTGTCCTGCTCACCTAGCTCAGTGCTGTTCCCAGTCAGGCATGACCCTGTGCAAGGACATGCTGAATAGAAAGTCCTCCATGGCTTGATCCTGGAGAGAGCCGGGTCAATGTAACACCCAGCGAGCAAGTCTGTTCACTAGGGAACCTGCAGCTGGGAGAGAGATTTTTCCATCCTGCTTGGCTATAATGATGAAATACAGCAATAGACCAGCATCAGGACTGGGTCCCTATCCAATACGCTAGCAGGAAGCCTGCCTGGGGAATGGCTGTATCCATGATCACACAACATGGAGCAGGACCCAGCTGGTGTCTGACTGGCGCTGGAGGTGATTTGCACATTGGTTTTCTCTAGCACAAGGACACCTGGTGGCCAAAGATTGCTGGAATTTCCCAGCCTCGTCTCTCTGGCGGAAACTTTGTTCAGTTAAACTTTACAAAGGTGTTTTCAAAACTGTTTCTTTTCTTAGAACTGGAAAAGCAATAAAACACCAAAGTGCCCAGAGCAGCTGGCGAGAGCCACTGTCCCACCTTTCATAGATTCCAAGGCCAGAAGGGACCATTGTGATCATCAAATCTGACCCCCTCTGTAACATAGGGTAGAGAACTTTCCCCAAAGCTTTTAGAAAAACATCCAGTCTTGATTTAAAAATGGTCAGTGATGGAGAATCCACAATGACCCTTGGTAAATTGTTTCAATGGTTAATTACTCTCACTGTTAAAAATGTACACCTGATTTCCAGGCTGAATTTGTCTAGCTTCAACTCCCAGTCACTGGATCATATTATACCTTTCTCTGATAGATTGAACAGCCCATTATTAAATATTTGTTCCCCAGGTATATACTTATACATTGTAATCAAGTCCCCCCTTAGCCTTCTCTTTGTTAAGCTAAATAGATTGAGCTTTTTGAGTCTAGCACTATAAGGCATATTTTCTAATTCCTTATTCAGTCTCATGGCTCTTTTTTGATCCTTCTCCAATTCATTAATATCCTTAATTGTGGCCATCAAAATCTACATTGTGGACACCAGAGCTGGACACAGTATTCAAGCACAGGTCGCACCAGTGCCAAATACAGAGGTACAATAACCTCTCTGCTCCTACACGAGATTCCCCTGTTTATGCCTCCCAGGATCACATTAGCTCTTTTGTCCACAGCGTCACACTGGGAGCTCACGTTCAGCTGATTATCCACTATGACCCCAAATCTGTTTCAGAGTCACTGCTTCCCAGGGCAGTCCCCCATCCTGTAAGTATGGCTGCATTCTTTGTTTCTAGATGTATACATTTACATTTAGCCATATTAAAATACATAATGTTTGCTTCTGCCAAGCTTATCAAGTGATCCAGATTGCTCTGAATCAGTGACCTGTACTCTTCATTATAAACCACTCCCTCAATTTTTGTATCACCTGCAAACTTTATCAGTGATTTTATGTTTTCTCCGGGTCATTGATAAAAATGTTATATAGCGTAGGGCCAAGATCCAGTCCCTGCAGGACACCACAGGAAACACGCCTGTTTGATGATGATTCCCCATTTACAGTTACATTTTGAGACCTACCAGTTAGCCAGCTTGTAATCCATTAAAGTGTGTCATGTTTACCACTCAAGAAAGAGATTTTGGAGCCATTGTGGATAGTTCTCTGAAAACATCCACTTAATATGCAGCGGCAGTCAAAAAAGCTAAAAGAACATTGGGAATCATTAAGAAGGGGATAGATAATAAGACAGAAAATATCACATTGCCTCTGTATAAATCCATGGTATGCCCACATCTTGAATACTGCGTGCAGATGTGGTCGCCCCATGTCAAAAAAGCTATATTGGAATTGGAAAATGTTCAGAAAAGGGCAACAAAAATGATTAGGGGTCTGGAACAGCTTCCGTATGAGGAGAGATTAATAAGATTGGGACTTTTCAGCTTGGAAAAGAGACAACTAAGGGGGGATATGATAGAGGTCTATAAAATCATGACTGGTGTAGAGAAAGTAAATAAGGAAGTATTATTTACTTCCTCTCATGACACAAGAACTAGGGGTCACCAAATGAAATTAATAGGCAGCAGGTTTAAAACAAACAAAAAGAAGTATTTCTTCACACAACGCACAGTCAATCTGTGGAACTCTTTGCCAGAGGATGTTGTGAAGGCCAAGACTATAGCAGGGTTCAAAAAAGAACTAAATAAATTCATGGAGGCTAGGTCCTTCAATGGCTATTAGCCAGGATGGGCAGGGATGGTGTCCCTAGCCTCTGTTTGCCAGAAGCTGGGAATGGGCGACAGGGGATGGATCACTTAATGATTACCTGTTCTGCTCATTCCCTCCCACTGTCGGAAGACAGGATACTGGACTAGATGGACCTTTGGTCTGACCCAGTATGGCCATTCTTATGTTCTTATGAACGATCAGTTGCACACATACAAAATGGGAAATGATTGCCTAGGAAGGAGTACAGTACTGCAGAAAGGAATGTGGGAGTCATAGTGGATCACAAGCTAAATATGAGTCAGCAGTGTAACACTGCTGTAAAAAAAGCAGACATCATTCTGGGATGTATTAGCAGGAGTGTTGTGAGGAAGACACAAGAAGTAATTCTTTCGCTCTACTCTGTGCTGATTAGGCCTCAACTGGAGTATTGTGTCCAGTTCTGGGTACCACATTTCAGGAAAGATGTGGACAAACTGGAGAAAGTCCAGAGAAGAGTAACAACAATGATTAAAGGTCTAGAAAACATGACCTAGAAGGGAAGATTGAAAAAATTGGGTTTGTTTAGTCTGGAGAAGAGAAGACTGAGGGGGGACATGATAACAGTTTTCAAGTACATAAAAGGTTTTTACAAGGAGGAGGGAGAAAAAATGTTTTTCTTAAGATCTGAGGATAGGACAAGAAGGAATGGGCTTAAATTGCAGCAAGGGTGGTTGCCTGTGGGCCTGGCTTCAGTCTAAACAAATACAGTGGGAGGTGTCAGCCATCTTTATTAAGGGACGCGTCATGCCCCTTGCAGATAGCTGCAGGGCAGTGGCCACATCTTGCTGGCTTCAACTGCATTGCCAGTAATGGGAGATGGCGGCCATCTTGAATAAGGGAAAATTCACCAGTTGGCGCCTTTCATCATGTTTTCGTGAGGCAGGTAAAAACCCACCTGAAAGTGCTGGAGTTGCAATAAAATCGTGATAGTTGGCAATTCTGGAACTCTGCTGTCTGGAGGCAGCAGGGTCCCATGCTCCAGTTGTGCCGTGTCCGTGGGCTCTGTTGTCCCACCCATCTGTGGTTGCTAGGGTGACCATCTTTTCAAAAGGCAAAAGCGGACACATGCAGGAGCCACACCCTCTGTGTGACCACACCCTCTGCCCCACCTCTTCCCCTGAGGCCCCGCCCCCTGCTCCTCCTCTTCCTCCAAGGTCCCGCCCCCTGGCCGGGCCAGAAGCCAGAACTTGGCCATGGTAAGAGCTGCCAAGGGAGACCAGGCCACTCTAGGGAGCCCTGGACCCTCCATCTGCCTTGGGCGACATGCCCTAGGGGGCAGGGACACTGGCTTGGGGCTGCTCTCGGGCACTCTGGCCCCCCACACAAGGCAGGTGGAAAGTCCGGGGCTCCCCACAGTAGCCCAGTGTGATGGGTTCCCTTGGGTGCAACCTGGAACCACGATACCGCACAACCTCTGTCTCACCAACCTGGGCTCCCTCTCACACTGTGATGCTGTGACAAGCAGCAACCTGCTCCAGGTCCTGCACTTACACAGACATCCACAGGCAGGGACGCACCCAACTCAGTTACATGAATGCTTCTCCTATTCACTCATGAACCAACAATAGAGAGGCTCCAACCAATTCCCCCAAGCTCCCTGACCCCAGCCTAGCACTCCAGGGCTGTACCGTCCTGCCCTGGTCAGAAGCCTGACCACTGTACATTTATTACCTAGTCCACCACTTCTACAAAGCACAGTGGATGTGCACCAGCTCTTGTTCCTGAGTAGATTTCCCCAAGCACTTCCAGCAAAATACACTGTTTTAGGTAAAAAAACAAACAGATTTATTAACTACAGAAAGATCGATTTTAAGTGTTTATACGTAGTAAGCGCACAGATCAAAGTTGGTTACCTAAGAAATAAAAAGTAAAATTGGAATCTGAATCCTATAAACTAGACCCGATTTAAATCAAGCACTGTCTCACCCTGATGGTCCAGTTCCTTTAGACACACGCTGGGATTCTCCTCTCCAGCGTGGAACCACCTGCCCAGTTCAGTCTTTGTCCTCCAGACCTGTTTCCAGGTGTTGAGTTGTGGGCGGGAGTGAGGCCCCAATGATGATGTCCCTTCCCCCTTTTATAGCTTCTTCCAGCTTGCTGGAAAGATCCTTTGCTATGACATGAGTCAAACAGTCTCCATTGCTTATGTGAAAAGCAACAGAGAGGCCTGTGGCACCTTTAAGACTAACAGATGTATTGGAGCATAAGCTTTCGTGGGTGAATACCCACTTCGTCGGATGCTTATGTG